TGTATTATAATCAAATAACTCACTACCATTGGAAAGGTAGTGGCCTTGTTTTCCCTGCTTTTTAACTATGGTTTTCAGTAGCTTTTTTTTCTCCAGTTTTGTTTTCATAATATGTTTTGTGTGTGATGTTTGAAGAGTTGGAGTGGACAATATTTGGGTAAGTGGTTGCCTGCAAACTCAGGGGGCTGGACTTCTTGGCCTTGGACACCCCTTTCCAGTCCCATGTTTCTCAATAGAACTTGTATTCCTTTCTTCAAGCATTGTATGAAGCTATATCCAAGCTTATTTTTCAACAGGCCCTACTTATCACTGAATCAGAATGCTTTGTATGAACACTATGTCATTATTTCATACTTTGCCAATCTTTGTCACAACTGTTACCAGCAGTGATCTTATATTTACAGCTAGATCATTTTTGAGCTTGTTGTATGGCCCTGGATTTGCTACAAGTCCCTGAAACATCTTAGTTCTATGACAATATCTATTGACTACTATTCATTTGAGAACCTGAAAGCTGGTTCTAAGTCAAGTGAAAATGCTTTATTGATACTCAGAATATTGTGCAGTATTAAAATGTCTCACATGTATATCTTATATCTAGTCAATTCCTTGTATTTACAAAGCTTGTTATCTGATCAAAGAATGAAATGACATTTCTGTGATAAACCTATTTTTCATAAGTCCACATTGACTACACAGATCATGTTTCTGTCCTTTAATTCTCACCAATTGTTTCTCATATTAGTTTTTAAATTATTTTACAAGAATTGATGTCATACTAACTAACCTGTTGTTACTTGGGTATCCTGGTTGCCACTTTTCAGTATGGCACATCAGCTGTCTTCCAGACTTTCCTTGGCATTCCAAGATTTAATAAAACATTAAATCCTCAGTGAGTATTTGTAGATTCCTGGGTGCAAGTTATCTGGGCTTCTTGATTTGGAAATATTTATTCTTAGTGTATGATGTTTCACATCCATCTTAGTGTCTAATGAACTGACAGGGCTTGATTAACCACTCATATGTTTCAAATACTGAGTCTGATTTGAATACCCAAGGGTCTGAAAACATACCTCACAGAGACATGAAAAGACAGATTGCTCACCTGGTTTGTTCAACCACCCTAGGCTCTTCTTGCGTCACTCTCATGGAAATAAACAGACTACATTCAGCTCACCAAGTCTCTTTATTTCCAAGCACAAGTTTGGTAACTACTCCTTCCAAATTTCCTTTTTGTTATGCCTGTTCACTCACATTGTTGGGTTGATGGCTCAGTTCAATGTTATGGTAACTTAATTAATAGCCCTTAAAAATTGGGACTTTTTCACTAGTTCATTAAAAGGGTAGTGATGTCAGTAATTTTGATAAACTTCTAATAAATTACTTATTGTGCATCTTTGAGTCCTTTTCCTTCCCCCAAGAACTTGATGAAAACCTGCCAACTTCCTATTTTGCATGGCAACTGTTTTCTAAGAACCTGTTTCAATTAATTTTCATATTTAAAAACACGGTTTTGCTCAAATGTTGTATAAATAGTCCATTTTAAATTTCATTTTTTATTGTTTTTCTTACTACCCATTTATTATCTCTCTTAACATATAAGAGATTGTGGCCATGGTCTTTGTAGAGGACCTGTGCTTCCATCCTTACTTTATGGCCCTCAGCAAGTGACTCACTCTTTGTGCTTCAGTTTCAATAGTGTTTGCAAAGTGCTTTGAGATCTTTGTATGAAAATTGCTATATGTGTAAGAAGTATTCTTCTTCTTCTTGAAAAGCTATCTTTTGTGTACTCATTTCCAAAACATTACCTGCTGGGCTGAAATTTGTCATGTTAGTCTAGGCCTGAAGGTGATTTTTTTTAATGTTTTCTTAAGAAAGATCTCCTCATTCATTTTAAAGTAACAAGAGAGTAGATAAATATTTTCCTGCTTTAAAAAATGTGTGGTTTTGTCATCTTATGAACAACTAGACTTCAAGCTTTGGTATAAACAGGACTGAATGAATAGCTTGGGCATTGCAAAAACAGTTTTGAAATAACAAAGCTAAAGACATTTTCAGATGAGAAAGAAGTAGCAATTTCAGTAGAAAAATCTATTCAACTCTTACCTACATACTTTAAAAATAGGCTTCAGTGTAAATGTGTGGCTTGAGTCTTTGAGAATGTAGCTGATCAAAAGAATGTATAAGATCAGTGGTTGCAACAGAAGGAAATAATAGATTAATTATGTCTTTAGAGTTGAATTTTATAAGAACAACAAACTTAGCACCAGAATATGAGGGTCCTGCAACTTGGAAGTTCCCAACCCTATTAGTTTCCAACCAAGAAGCTGTAAACTAAGTTTAGAAATCTTGTCCAATCCCTGAGAACAGAACCATGCTAGGTATGGCATCCTTTTCCTTTCCCTCTTTTAGGAGGGAGAAGCGCTAGACCATTTGCCTCATGAGCTATAGCAGGAACAATCAAAATGTTCCAGCAAGGGAGGAGTGGCATGACCCAGCTTGGGTCAGATGAGCAAGGATTTATGGCCCACTGCTGCTGCTTCTCCCTTCCAGTTAGCTGCAGCACAATGTGGTGAAAGCTTCTCTCTGCCAAAGCTTGTTCCACTTGACTGAGGTGCAGCATAGCCAGAGCTCCCCCTCTGTCAGAGTGCCAGGTAACTGAGTTCAGCACAATGCAGGGAGAGCCACCTGCTGCCAGATGCTGCCTCAACCAAGGCTCCACGGGTCAGATGAAACCTGCAGGCCATAGTTTGCCATCTCCTACGCTATAGCATGATGTGAAGTGGAGATGGTTAGGGTTCAAAACTAGAACTCTGGTGCAAGGAGCTGGTTTTGAATGCCCATTAAACTGACTTATTTTGCAAGCTCAGACTGACTAGCTCCGATTGGTCTGCTAGAGGAAATGGTAGAAGCCAAAGCAGATGGTTGCTTTGTTAAGAATCCGTTGACCCTGTAAACAGTTCCTACTGATTACTCTTGTACTGAGGATATGAATAGCATTTAAGGACTAGAGTTCCCTACAGTTCAGGACATTGGAGTTGCTGATCTGTAGGCAAATCTCAGGAAATAAATGCATCCTTATAATCAAAGGTTCTGGTTAACCAAAGATAAGATAATCAAAATTTGATTGTAAGTGTGATTCAAGAAACATACAGCTCTCACTGAGGACCTCAGGAGCTAAGATTAACAACTTATATTTTTCTCTTTTAAAATCAATGGCAATTAAATGCAAAAACCTTGCATTAATTGACCATTAAATTCGCTCAATCAAGCACTCAAAAGCTGGGTGGATTGATTTAAATCACCAATTTTAATCAGCTAGCAGGAAATCTTTATTTAAGTAATTGATATTAATCTTGTTTTGCATTTGTACTTTATATTCTCTTAGAGGGAAGTTCATTCAAATTGGTTGGTATAAACATTAAAACATGTTGCTTTGCAACCAATTATGGCCTTTTCACTAAATTTGCAACTTTGTTTTGCTAATCAGGATAGTACATTATATGTATGCAGATCTATTTAAGCAATTATACAACTTATCATATATTTATTCAGGTTCTTAATTTTTATTATGTTACAAAAAAAGATGGATGATGCATTTCTTATTTACTAGATGATCATTTTCCTTGTGAGTTGTGTCAAGCTGTGTTTGGATGGAAATTATAATTCAATTAAAATGTACAACAGCAACATTTTAAAATGTTTTTTATTGGTTCAATAAAGGTACTATTAATGTGCTAGATGCATTTAAAATGCTCATCAAAGCATGTTTTGCTTGTAAAACTAATTGATTTAGAAAGCAAGGAAAATACAAAATGTACTTATTAAGTTGATGGATTATTTCTGGTCATGGGGAGCCAGATAGTCAAAGGCATTTAGGTTCCTAAATATACAGGTAGATTTTTCCAATGTATCTAATTTCTTGAGATGTTTTTGAAAATCCTATGAGGGAGCTATTTATATTTTCAGGTACCTAGACAATCTGACTCCCTGTCTTCAAGTTTTTTGGAGGAGCAGACTTCAGATTTTTCCACCTATATCCTTATTGATACTATAGGAAAGAAAAAGATGATTTTTCAGTTCCCAATAAGATTTTTGACTTTGAGTCAAGTGGTCCAAATTAAAAAGATTATGTATATATGCTTTTTGAACCTGCTATCTAAACTAAAGTATAAACTTTCCATTCCAACAGAGAAAACTTACATTTGGAAAAAAATCAGCATTCATTCCTTTATTAAAAATGATATATTTGAAGGTTTGTTCATGTAAGATATTGAAGATAAGATAGTGAGGCAGTTTCAAGGGGAGGGCTGGAGAGGCACTGGTATAATACCTAACTTGTAGCCTGATGATTAGGTAGGGGGACAATATGGGATAATGGGAAATCTGGGACACTTGATTTATGGAAGTGCATAAAAAGGTTATTTACGTTTTTAACAAATGAGGTCTTTGTAGTTGGAAAGCATAAAACTCACCCCTTTTATGATATTCACTTCAGCTGAATTACAATGGGAAGAATTTGTGTAATTATCTGAATAGCAGTGAGCACTGGATTAATTTGGATGTTCTTTAAAAAATATGCAAACTAAATGAAGTGAATGTGTGGGATGTTCTACGTATTGATATTCAAGTGTTTTATCCATTCTGGGTTTAGTAAAAGTTATCTGATTTTGTAACTGAATATACAAAATCTCAGTATATTTTGAGACAGCCAGATTAATGTTTATCTTTTTCCACAAGTGAAAAATAAAATATGTTCTGCAATTTACTAGATACAGTACATAGTTTTGCTTTTTTTAAAGACACATTCTGATTTATAATTGCCAAAAGATCAATAAAACACATGAACAGCTTTGGAAACATCTGAAGCCCAGATATTCAGGAACATGTTGCTATATATTTTAACTCATTGACTTTGTTTGTATAGATTTTGTATATTTGTATGTAATGCATACAATTAAGCTATGAACTTTCTTTGATTTTGTACTTTTTCCTTTTAGGTTCGGATTTATTCTTCATAAAGATGAGACTGTACTCCAGAAAATTGATCTTGAAACTATGTCATATATCAAGACAATTAGTTTAAAGGATTATAATTGTATTCCTCAGTCTCTGGCTTATACACATCTTGGAGGATATTATTTTATCTGCTGCAAGCCTGATACCACTGGGGCTATTCTACCACAGCTTATAGTGGATAGTGTTACTGACAGTGTGATTAGATATAATGGTGATGTGACAGGCACCCCATATATCTCTCCAGATGGGCACTACCTTGTCAGCATTGATGATATAAAAGGTCTCATGAAGGTCCAGTCCATTACAATTAGAGGAGAAATCCAGGATGCATTTGACATTCACACTAACTTGCACATATCTGATGTGGCTTTTCAGCCATCGTTTACTGAAGCCCATCAGTACAATGTCTATTGTAGCTCCAGCTTGCAAACGGATGTGTTGTTTGTAGAGCTCGCCTCTGGCAAAGTTAAGATGGTGAAGAGCCTTAAGGAGCCTATAGGGGCAGAAGAATGGCCTTGGAACAATAAGAACCGGCTTATCAAGGACAGCGGTCTCTTTGGCCAATACCTTATGACACCTTCCAAGGAATCCCTCTTTATCCTGGATGGACGGCTCAACAAGTTAAATTGTGAAATCACTGAAGTTGAGAGAGGCAACACAGTAATTTGGGTTGGAGAAGCATAAGGAACCATGCTAGATGATAATGGAACAAAATAGTTTTACAGTACATTGCACTTAACACCATTCTTTAAATTTCCAGTTTTCCTTTGAAATGATTAGACCCGTCTATATTTGTCATTGTTTTGGCTAAGATACAAGTTGATAAACACTTTAACATAAAAGATACTAAAGATACTAAAAGTGGAATTTCTCAGAAAAAATATCTACTACTAATGACCAGCTAAGATAGCATTGATTGATTGGATTCAATATAGAAAATTATGATTAATATCTTAATAGGCCAATTCTAAAGTCTCATTATAAAAAATATAGAATAGTTCAAAGAAGTGAAAAAAAGAAAAAAAATCAAATCAGGGAATATCAAATGTCTTGGTATGATCCATTGCATATAAAAAAAATCACTCTAATTTTGATTTGGTTTGCTTTGAATATGAAATAAGAGGTGTTGTGCAACTTTAGACTTCTTAAACTGAAATGTTCTGTCCTGTCCTGTCCACTGTTTAATCTTTTTGTGCCTTGAAGGGAATGTCTCACAAGGAAGTGGAAGAGTAAAAATTGTATACTTTATTCCCATTGTGGCTACAGGATTGCGTGTCACTGAAAAGAAGCATTTAGTATCTCACATTTTAGTCACAATCAGGTTGTGGAACATATTAAGGAAAAAAGGGAAAATTATATTCGCAATGTCTTCTGTATTGCTTCTTGATCACTACAGTTTGAGAAGTTTATTTTTATTGTGAGTTTTAGTTCCAATGCTGTCACTTGCTTGCAGAAGTTTTATCTTTTTATTTTTTCTTAGCAGCAATAGGTGTTACGCTTTTTCAGATTTCATAGGGTTGCATCAAGAGGGTATTTCAGTTCTACTAAAGAGAAACATCATGTGATCTGCTTAAAATAAAATACATTTTTGTCAAACATGAAGCTTCACTGGCAAGAAAACTGTTATTTGAAAAAAAAATGAACAGGTATTCATTTTAAAGAACTAGCTATAGAACTCAGAGAACTGGATTTAAGATTACAACCTGGGGATAGGATTTTTGCTTATGAGTTATGGTGTTTACCTATACTTCCTGAATCTTTTTGACTAGCTCAATAAGTTATTCATTCTACTCACCCAATTGGATTATACTTGTAAAACAAACTCTCCTTCTGTATTATTTTTTACTTTTTTAGAAACCTCTTTCTCTAATTTTGGACATTGCTTACACATCTAAATGGGAATAATAATTTAGAACAATAACAGATAGTAAAATCAGAAAAAAAAATACAGGGATGTGACTAATTGAAGCCAGCAGGAAAAAAAAAAAAACTATCCAGACTTGTGGTAATGTTAGAAATATTTGGGGATAATTTTATTTTGCTAAACAATGCTATGGGCTCTCAAACTGACCTCCATTTACTAAGGCAATCAGAAAAAAAAATCTTTTTTAAATACAATTTTACTTTAGTTTAGATTGTGTAAAATTGCTTAGAAACCTGAAATTTTCTAGCATTGTAATCTTGTGTGTATTTAGCATCCTGCGCTGTGTGATACAGTAGATCTCTCTAGCTTGAAAATAAAAAAACTTCCTGGCAGGTAGATTTAATTAAAATTAAAATCTGCATACATTTCTAGTTACTGGATCTGTTTTCCTTTCTAACAAGTTTTCTCATTGTAAACAAGAACCATGTAAGTTGTCTGTTACTCAGTTTTTACAGTAGTTAGTCTCTTACGCTTTTTTTCCCTTCTGTAACCAACACCATGTGGATGTTCTGTATGTAGAAAATGCTTGACAAAAGGAGAATAAACCCCGTACATTTTAAAAACTCTGGACTTCAGTGAATGTTACAATATAGCCAAAACTTCATCTTCTTTTAATAACCCAAGGAGAATGTAATGTTGTTTTATCTGAAGGCAGGGGGGAGGAGGCTCATCTGTCTTGTGCTGCCTATAGTGAATGTTAAGGTGTGCAAAACTGGGATGCTCCACTTCTGCTACTTCATAGAAAATCTTATGTCATCCTGCCTTGGGACTTGGATGACCCTGGGATTCCTTTCACCCCTGTTTTCTATTATTCTTTTAATCTCTAAGATGTTGAGTTATTGTCACCAACAGAAAAGGGTACGTGTAAGAAACTGTGAGCATTGTACATATGTGTACATACAAACTGCTGCCTTTTGTGAGTATAAATACCACAGTTGGCAGCCTTATCAGAGTACCTTTTTAAGTATTAAAAATATTGATAGCTGGTAGACCCTTAAGCTTTCAATTAAAGGCTTTGCATTTCATATGATATACTAGGCCAAATTCTCCCTTACACAGCTTGATTTGCTGTAATGGAATCATAATCATTTACATCAGTAACTTATCACTTCAAACCATAGTCCGAATACCTTTAATTGGCAAATTAAAGTAAATGGAGGGGAAGCTGTTTATTTTTAACAGTTCTCTAAACTGATACTCTAAGGCCCACAGTTTTGTTTCTTTCCAGTCGTTATTGATTTTAAAGTGTTTCCAGCTGTCTTGCATTTAGGATGGAGTTCTAACCCCATTGAAGTTAATGATGAAACTCTCATTAACTTAAATGAGTCCAATATGTCACCTTGTGGATATGCAAGATAGTCATCAGTTTTGATCCACGCCAGTGTGCAGGGCCTCAAACCACGCTCTTTTTTAAAACTTAGCTACACCTTATAATGTGCTAAGTTACTTTAGCAAGAGCCTTTTACAAAAAGGGTCCAACTTAGCCTTTGGTAAAGCTCTTTTTATTTTCTTCCACAGCTAAACCTTTAGGCTGCTCCTGGCTATAGATTGGAGAACATTTATAGTTTATTTTCACATAATCTTAATTGAGAAAGTAATGAAAAACTACCTGGAAAACAAATGATGATATATATATTGCTGAAAAGGTTTATATAATGCCCTTGAAAGCTCTGCTAGTCTACTGAAAGGGAAAAAATGCATCCAAATGATCTAATTTGAAAGATGTGGAGGCAAGATGGAATCCCCCTTCCTGGATATAGCTTTCAAAATGCTTCTCTTGCTATTTGTAGCACCTGAACTATTGAAAAAAATACTCTATTTTTATGTTTCTAGAGACATGGCTAAGGCAGGGTTAACTTAGCAGTATCAGAGAAGTAAATGAAAGCAAGAAATGGTATTAACTTTCTTGTAAGTGTTCCTCTTCCCTTTTAAAAGGCCCAAGGCTGCCTTTCTGACAATTTATTTTATCTAGATACAGTAGAAACCCAACTTTGGCATGCAGAAATGATGCTCAACCTGCTTACAATATTTACAAAGTAAAGAACTGCTCTGATGCTTATTGACCCTTTTCTTCAAAGGGTGCTGCTGCTTTGATGACCTGAAGCAGAGCCGCAGTTCTGCACAGCTGGTGGAGAAGTAGCACCCGCTGCACTGAAATAAGAGACACGTGAAACAGCTGTCAACACCTTGGTCCCTCACAGCTGTTTGGTGCAGCTATATAAACCACCAAGTAGTTTGAAAACCCTTTTCTACTTGGAGAGTAAGGAAGCTTAACCCTACTAAGAATCTAGGTTTCACTGTAAACAGCTGAAATATTATATACACGTCAAGTATTGAGTACCTAAATCGTAAGTGTTTAAGCTTTTCTTTTGCAACAAGTGGAGATACTACTCAGAAATCTGATGCTTGTACCTTCTAACATTTGCACATTGTCCAGAGTGCCACCATCTGCCTTCGGTACATTTTCTCAACAGGCTTCTCAGTTTCTTATAAGTGTCAATTTACATGTGATCACCAATTAAGCCTCCCACATAAATAGGTAAATTCAGCTCAGAAAAATGTACTTTAATGCCTCTAATTATATCTGCTGCAAACAAATTATTTTTAAAATGTGGACATATGGTACAAGAGAGTTCATGAGTCCAAAAAAACCCCCACCTTTACAAATGTCTGGTAAATGTTCCTTCCTACACAAAATACAAGTATGCTTGTCATTTACAAACATTTATACATCCCTGCAAAAATGTTTAATGCTGGTTGTAATTTTAAAAAGAATATGCGCAAGTTTATAATTAATTCAGATGGTGTACAATAATGCCATCTCAGCTGTGATTTTGTCTGCTAAAAAAAAACTGCAAAAGCTAAAAAGCATCATACAAGCCTCCACAGAAAAAATCTATGTAATATTGTGAGTTACTGTAGTTAGCCTTTTGAGTTTCTATTGAGACTAGGGTCTTAGCATGGTGATAGAGAGCTTTACTTGAAGGATCATGAGTGGGATGTGAGTATCTCATCAGGTGTAGATTTAAAACGTTATGGTACTATTTAGATATTTAGTTTTTGAACCTCGGCCAGACTCCAGTAGGATAATTATATTCTGCCTTGCTGTACATAATCTTGTAGTTTAAATCAGCTGCAGATTTTTTATTTGCAGCAAAAATAGACATAGACTTGTGTGCCGTTAACAGCTGTTATGTTCCACCCATGCAATGTCTGCATTTCAGTGATAAAGTCTTAAATATGTTCTGTTAAGGAGGCCTACAAATGAAGAGGATTACCACTATCACAAAATACATTGGTTGCTGGATGTAGGCTAGTAACTCAGAAAGAAATGTCAGCTTAATTGGAGACATTCATTTTAACTGAACAAAAGAGAAGTTTCCTGCTACTTTGGGCGGAAAAAAGCAGCCAGCTATTTACATAAATCTTACATTTGCCACAATTAACTATGACAAATTCATTCCACTTTTCCTCATGTTTCCTTGTGTTGTTTTTTAATCTGCCAGCTCCCATGGCATTTCAGTTTAAAAGTAATCTACATCAGTATTTTAAAAGGTTCTGGAAAAATCCACCATTTACTAGCTATGTGAATAAGTGCAAAAATCCCAGAACAATGTAAATGATGTGAACTCCAACTTCAGCTGTTTTCCTCATCTTGCACTCCACAATTCTAGCACAACCCTTGACAGAAAGACGTCGAAAATAGGTACGTTTTATTATGAAGTTTTGTTACAAAGGCCAACACGACCAAGTTTTGTCTAATCAGATTTGAGGAAGCAGAAAGTAGGGTGCCAGATCTTAAATGTATCTTAAGTACTTAAAGTGGGCCTTATGTGGAATTTAAGGGTGCTTATACACATGCAGCAAGGCTGCTCCGACACTGTAATTACAGCACATTAACTGAGATTAACTGAGTCTGCTGGAGTGTGGTAATTAGCATGCTTCAGCAGACTTCAGTGTCTTGTATATCAGCATCTCCACACTGAAAAATGGCAGTGGGGCACTTTAATTAAAGCTTATTTGGCAAGCTATAGTTAAAGCACCCCTGCCATCTTTTTTCAGAATGGGGATGCTGATATGTGAGATGCTCTGGGCATGTTAATCAGAGCGGCTCTTGGAGCCACTGTAATTAAAGCATACCTCCCCCCTGCCCTCCTTGCTTATTCCCCAGAGCATCTGTATCAATGCCCCAAGTGCCTGGCTCCAAAGTTTGAATCTTGACAATTCTTACGACTATCCTACTTGGAAGGGTACCAAGCCTTGCTAAAGTGCCTCAGAGTTCCTCAGGCTCCTGAACTTCTGCCTCTGTGCATGGTCAGAGGCGTCTCAGTCTTGACAGGACTGAGCAGCTCATTGCCTGGTTCACACCTAACCCTTACCTCCTTCAGGATAGAGAAGCCCTCAGCCAGCATCCTAGGATGCTCAAAATCATAGACGTATCTAGGAAACGCTAATAATGTTCCACAAAATCCTCGAGGTGGAGAAGGATTGTGATCACTTTTTGCAGCATAGCCTAATGGTTAAAGCACCTCCCCCTCCCCCCACTGAACTCTCAAGTACTTGTTTGGGGCATACTCCAACTAAAAGTCTGACTTGAAAAAAAGTTGATGAGGGGGAGA